ATCTGCTGTGATGTTGGTATGGGAAGTTGGAATGGCAGTGGCAACCTGACCAATGGCTCAGGCAGCAGAGGAGGAAAGTCTACAGGGGAGACCTGGTCAAGATTAAGAGGTAATTTTGATGTCAAACAGCTAGATTGCCTGGCAGTTGCAAGAAGAGAAGAAAGTGGAGGTAGAGATACTGATTCACCCATTGAAAAAGGCAGCTGTGAAGGAATTTGAGTTTCTAGCCCCAAGAAAGGCAGGTCTACAGAGTTCCCAAGTGCATCTAGAAAACTCAATGGAGGAAATAGTTTAGTTCCAGTTGCTTCTGAAAGCTCTTCCTTCTCAAAGCAAATTGAACTAGTTGGCTCTACACAGCTTGGTGAAGCTACATCTAGGTTGTCAGCAAATGACATGCATACATCTTCACACCGACTCAGTGTTTCCCTGGCAACACCACTGAATGAAGTCAAGTCTTTAAAAGAACTAGACATAGGACTGAGTATAGCCTGATAGACTGGATTTGAATTTGTTCCCCAACTTCCATTGACCCCAAATCTCGAAGTCTTCACAGATTCCAATGAAGATTCAGAAGAATTAACTGAGTTGTCCAGAGAAGGTGTAGCCGGTAGAATTGAACTAGCTTGAGCACTAGCCATCACTGATCCAGCAAGATACGCTCGAAGGCGACTCGCGAAACAGTTGAAGCGTGAATCATGAATTCCAGATAATTCAGCTAGTGATAGTTTCCTTGTAAGTAAATCCTTCATCTGCCCAAGGCAAGAAAGGACAAACATTAAAAATAATACACTGCAAAAATATATACATGTGCTACAAACTATCATGCCGATCATACCTTCCTGAGCAATTCATTCCCCAGAAGCTTAGACTTTTCTGAGCACCAAAAATAGAAAATCTCACCATCTGGAATCTTGATCAAGAAAGATCGTCCAGACTTATCTGCTGAAATTTCTCCAACTTCTACAGCTGAGCATTGAGCATCGGTGCTCAATGTTGCCACTATCTCCATATGACCATCGTCCCCAATGAATGAGATGCGCAAGTCCAAAGTTGGTAAAAGTGTGAGATTTAAATTCCCTCTGTTCAAATGATAAACAAAATCAATGAGCAATTGTCAGTGAAATACTCCCAAGTCCCAAAAAGATTTCAAAGAAAAGAAATAAAGTAACATAATTGGCATGAAACAGGCCCATCCTTGTAGCCAAGACTCAGGCTAAGAGACATATGGGAAGACGATGATTAGAACACCAACTAAATAGCTAAGCCTCGAAAAACAATCTACTCAATTTTCTTGCAATGCATAAAACTCAATTTATAGCTGATCATATGCAACTTTCCTTGATTATTTTTCATTCATCTTTATTATATATCAATCACTAGGAGGTAAGATGTAGAATTAGAAAGGGGCATGTAAAATCATCTGTGCTATGTACATTCCTAGTAACCAGTTAAAAAAGAAACAAGCTGCAAAAGGCATTAGTTATTTAACCCCTCCACCTCAACACTGGACTTGTACACAGAAAGAAGAGAAAATATATGTATACTATACTCCTTACTTCTTAAAAAGAAGAGGACGTATTTATCAGGTAGACATCAAACAAGCATCGAATGTTATAAGCTAATAAAATAGATTCCAAGAGACACCATCATCAATTTATCAACATAAGTTGCAAGTAAAATACATCATCTAACAAAAATAACGAATAATGAAACATGAAACATTCTAGTGATATCGAGACTTAAAAAATATACTAACCAAAAAAAAAGAAGAAAAGCAATCCCGTAAGTCCAACTCTTAATTCAAAATTTATAGCAAGTAAAATATTCTCAATCATCCGACCAAACTGAACAGTCATATCCATCTAGTGGGAGCCAGAAAGACTAAAAAAATATATCAACACTATATATAAAGCAAATACAGGACAAGATAAACAATGAAACTTCTTCCACATTGATTCTATACGAACATGAAAATGCAAGGTACTTTATTAACATAGGATCATGAAACTACCTTTACTTCTTCTTAATTCAGAGATCATAAAGTAACGCCCAATTTACCTACAAGTCAAA